TTATATTTTCTTTTTTAAACGGCGATTAAATTTCTCTAAAAAAGTATAAACTCCATAAAATCTTAAAAACAGAGATCGTTTAATCCGATAATAAATAAAATCTTCAAAAATCATGGAGATCACAAAATTTAATGGAAAAAACAACCCGGAAAATGTAGGGATTTTTTATTCTTTAATCCTTGTACGAAAAGAAACGACAATATTGTCAGACATAAAACTATACTTAGAGGAGACGGTGCTGGTTTTATGAACCATAAAACACTCCCTTGTGCACGGTGGCTTAGCGACCATGTAGTCGTTACTTAACGTGGACAATCCTCAGCATCTGTCCATCGTCATTTCTTTGTCATCATCCACATCACGAATAAAAAAAAATGAAGGTTCTTTTCTTATAAAAAAAGTAATTTTAGAATATATTATCCGAAAAAGACGTGAAGAGGAAAAACTCTACCCCAGAGTAACCATAAATTTGCCGAGAAACTGCAACGTCGAATCCGCCAGCAGCGTTTATAACGACGGATTCCGTCGCAAACAATGAATTATTGCGAAAAATTAATCAGGACGTAGATAAAAGCGGACGAGGATACTAAGAGGACGACATAAATATAAATTCCAGGCGAGTTGGTGACGGAAATACTAAAGCTAAAAAAAAAGACGATTCATAAATGCATTTTCCATACAAAATAACGTGAAAAAATGTCTTTCTAAAAGTAGCAATCAAAAAGAAAAATTAGTCTTGTCAATTTCTTCTCTTTTTATTATCAATTGGGTTAAATTAACTGTATAATCGAGTTCACCGCATCATTCAAGAACACACCATGACGTTAATTTTAGCCAATTGTCGAACAATGAAACAGGATGCGTTCACGCAACGATCCCAATCTTCAGCCTCCGGGTTCACCAGTAACAGTAACAGCAGCCTCGCATTCGTCGTTGATCTAATGATTTACAGTGCGTGTTTCTCGCAGACGCGCAATTTATTTCTTTTGTGGCAATTAAAAGCAGGAACGCGGAGAATACAGATGGTCTCGGTCAGAAGCTGAGACATCGTAAAATGTATTAAAACCAAAACGAATTTCCTGGTTTGTATCTATTAAAAGGAATCAAGCCAATAAAAATAATTTCACGAAAATAAATTTATATAAAATTATTTTCCAGATAATTAAATTTTACTTTCTCCCTCGCAAACTTGTAATCATCTATTACTTATTTATTTATTTAATTATGTATTGATCACGGTCTAACGAGTTTTCAGATTTCCTAAAACCACAAGGAATTTTCTATTTTCAATTTTATAAAACCCGTTAAATCGCGTTTAATACTATTTGTATTCGGTGTCTTTTTATGGTTTTAAACTTCCGTCTTTCCATTTTAATATTTCATAAATATACGCTAGAATTTTAATATGTTTTCTTGAAAATTTGTTATATCTACTTGGACGTTGCTTCGATTTCATCATTAAAAAAAAATAATAAATAACTGTGTGTCTATCAAAAGGAATTCGAAAACGATTAAAATTCCGTTACTCATCATTAAGGAATCCAGCAGCTCTAATTTCTATTGTCCGTTAAAATTACATCCCCGTATTCGGACCTATGATGGTCGTGTTTTACTTTTTATTACCTCTCCTTTTTTTTCAAACATCGGCTCGAGTGCCATTGAATCCAATACCCCCGTATGGACGTAATATTGTTACCCACGAAGGCATAAAACGAATGGCTCCAACGCACACACATGCTTTATAAGACAATACTTGGAACGCATTTTATGAACCATAAAACGGAACCCATCAAGTACAACTGCAAAATATGGAAGAATCGAAGTTGTTATTTAATTTAGAGTGAAATAAAATATTTTGCTTTAAAATTAAATTAACTTGATTCCTGAAAGTACCTAAAAACTTTTTATTATGTAGCATATTTTAATAAATGAAATTATTAACTAGGATTTAATTTGAAATTAGAACATAAAATTATTAATTCATTGTATAGGTAATAATTTGAATAGTATTGTTGTATTATTATTAATACTCATCCATCATAATTCATTACAAAAAATTATTCGAACGCATAATCTGACAATACTATTCATTAAATCAATAAAACTTGATTAATATCGACTACTTTTTATCTTCGTTGAAATTTATTTATTTTCCCAAATCCAAATAGCATTAGGCATCAAAATCACAATATGTAACGAAAAAGTAGGTCTCTGTTTTTTTCAGATCCTCCCAAAAATTCATCTAGTAAAAATAAAATTGGAAAAAAAATTAGATATGGTAAATAAAAAATATTGCTGATATTTTATTGAAGTAGCTACACACTAACAATAAAGGTTAAAGTTCTATAAAAATCATAATAAAATATATGTGATGATTAAAAATGGAACTTAGTTACAGTGAAATTAAGTTTGAACAATGTCTGCGGTTAATCAACTATATTTGACAGTAAATTATATAAAAATTTGATTGCGATCGCTACTCAACACGTAGATAATGAGATTACGCCAAAACTAAATTAATACATCTAAGAGGATAGGCTTCGTCAATGCGACAAAAACTTTAAATACAATTTCTGTACGCGCTTAAAGGAATTAATTTGTCTTCAATAATAGGGTTGATAAACGAATCATAGCTTTAAAGACGATAAGAACGGTTAAATACTGCTATATGTTATCACTATGTTATATACTGAATGTTTATCATGATTACAAAGGCATATACATTTGATTAATGATGTTAGAGCAACGCCAGATGCGAAAATTACCGACTAATCTACAGTGGTGTAGAAATAGATAAAAGAGCAGCGTTAGGAGTTGGAATACTGAAATGTAAAGAGTTCGAAACAAGAATCAACAACATAAATTATATCAATGACTAACTCATGCGGATATCGGTCAGCTTCCAAAAAGATAAAACAACACACCTTATCAGTGTATATGCAGCAAGAAATAGACACATTCTATCATGAAATCATAATCATAGGAGAATTAAATGCTAGAATTGGTAACGAGGTTATTTATACCTGATATTAAAAAAATTATCAATGACAAGATTATGCAAGAAAGTGGCGACCCTAACATGTCACAACACAAATATACCTCCTAAAGTATAAGAGGCCAAAAATCAATGATAGATTTTATCATCACAAATTGAAGCATTCACCCCAATAATGTACTAGACGTGAGAACCTTAAGCGGGAACTAACTACAACCTTGTAATGGCGAAAATTATAAAAAAAAAGGAAAAGTATAATCCAGTCAGCAAGAAAAGTAACCACAATAATAACAATAAAATAAATGATTGGCTCAATCATCTCATCTAAGTACCTGTACCAACACGTACTTGAGAGAAAAATGTTGACGAACAGAATACAGCACTACGATGACACTGCTCAACTATAATTAAATGAGCTCAGGAAGTAGTAGGGAGAAGAGTATACAGATAAATGCAAGACCCAACAGAAAGTCTTGGTTTATTTAAGAAATGAAGAATCTAGCTGAGGAAAAACGAAGATTCTATTTACAGAAAAGATCAGGCGCAATAAAAAGTTTAGGAAAGATATTGAGGTACTCTCCATATACGCCGGTCAGAGAAAAATCTGGAATTTATTGAGAAATTGAAAGAAGTAAACGAAGAGGCCATAAAGATCTACAAGACAACTTTTATGTGTTTCGTCGTTAAGGTACACCAATAGTAAATGAAGTAAGGTAGGGAAATAACCTCAGCTGAGCATTATTCAAGTTAGGGATGAACGAAATAATTGAAGAAATTATGCGGCAAGGATCATATGCTACGCAAACGATACAGTATTAATTTCTGAAGACACCACAACCAAAAAGTTTCTCGAAAGCATACAAATGAAAACTCTTCGAGGAATTACTGGCTACATCCGGAAAAACTGTGGGATGAAATAGAGAGACCATGTCAGCAGGATTCCAGAACACAGATTATCGAAATTCGCCAGAATAGGAAAACCACGTCCGATCAGACCTCGTGGACGTCTCCCGAAGAAGTGGTATGAAAGTTGAAGTTCACTATCCCAGTTTAAACTGTCGAAGAAAGAGCCCTTAATTTTTATACAAGTAGGTATTCGATAACAGATTTTTCTAATCTTGATTCTTGATCTAATTCTAGCAATCAGATCCCCCATCAATATAATTTCATGATTCTGAGGAATTTTGTCCATGTCTTCGGTGAGTTGTTGGTATTCAGAGACATTAATTTCGGAATCCTGTTTCTCCATGATTTTGTGTCAGAGTTCTCTCCCTTAGTCATCAATGAGGTCACACCAGTGTGTTAAAAAAAGAAACTCAAACTCTAAAAAGGAAATGAAAAACGTAAAACTAGTAAATACATATAGATTATAGTACATTTTACCTATAAATACTTCATAAATACGTGATAGTAAAAAAAATTAACATTTAAATTAAAATTTAAAACGAAACTTAATTAATGCTAAAACTAATTTTTCCTCCAACTTTCACCCGAACGTTTACAAGATAGAAACTCAACTATAATTAAAAAGAACATAGCGATGCTAATTTATAAATGATTTGTCATTTCCTTTTTCAGATATATGTATGAGAACATACGTTCTAGTACGTAAACGGTAAAAGTAATTTGTTGTTTGTTAAAAAGGAAAACTAACATCACCAATAACTTAGCTAATTAATACGTTCAAATGAGAAGGAAATGTAAATTTATTTAACATCATAAACATGGTTAGGTTTAGAAATTAAATCGATTCCATTGATTTATTAATCAATTTCTAAAATGGCATTAAGGTTTATGAATTTTAACGGTAACCGATTCCAGAATCAATTAGGGAGGTTATTAAGTTAAGTGGAACACCTCTAATGCTGATTACGCGTATTTAAATCGATTATTAATACGGTTTGTAACTGTAAAATAAATTTGAGATGAATTTTTTTTTGCTTTGCAACATGCGTGTTTGGAACGAGATGTTTTTGAAAATCTGGTTTAAAACATCAAAAACAAGTTGTGAAACACGTTTTATGAAATAAATTTCATTTGAAAATAAGTCGTGTTGCGAGTTAAAGCTCAAAAGTAAGTTTTATTATAAATTTATAAATATTTATTGAGTTAAATTTTATTTAATAGTGATGAATATTTCTGAGAGTAATTTAGATAGCATCATAGATTATTTGGATGATTATAAATACACCATCAAAGAAAGAGACAACTTAAAATTGGATTTTACTCATGAATCATCTCAAGTAGTTTAAATAAAATTATTTAAAATTAAATTTATTTAATTATTATCGTTTATTTTTAGCTTAACTATCGATCATTTATGATAAACCATCTAAAATCGTACGCTTCTTTAAAATCTATAGTTCCCTCAACGTTACAATTAGCGGTTTATTTAGTGGATATGGTAATGGACAGCTATAAATTACAGGAGGAGAAGTTTTTGTTAATTGCAAACGTCTGTTTGCTTATTGCAGGTAAAATTTATTATTAATTACATAAAATTAGTATGGTGAATGTAATTTACTCCGTAATATGGATGAACTTTTAGCAAAGGTTGATGAGTACAGTGGTAACGTTCCAAAATTAACCGAATTAAACGCTTCAGTTGCAAACATTTACGAAATTAGTGATTACAAAAGGATGGAAATGTTTATTTTAAACATTTTTAACGGATTTGTAAATTTTCCAACACCGGCACATTGCTCCCACTATTATTTCCAAGCAATTTTAGATAACGAGGATGTGAAGATTATTAAGGAAAGAAAGGAGACAATAAATGAAACCAAAAGAGTCCTCAATTCATTGCTTCTTACTTCATTAGATAGATATATCAATGGTTAAAACATTTTTATTTAAATTAAATTTTTTATGTTTAAATGTTTTTTTAGATATTCATTACATGCAATTTTATCCACCATCTCTATTAGCAGCAGCTGCTATTTCAGCTTGTCGAGTTCAATATGGTTTAGCTAATTGGAATAGACAATTAGAAAACTTTACAGGTTATACTGAAACGGTGTTGGAAGAAATCAAGAAATTCTTGTTGCAGTAAGTAATAATTTTAATGAAATAATAAAAATTTTCAAAATTATTTATTGTTTTAGACCACATTCGCTAAAATGTACGTTATGTCCAAATGAATAAAAAAATTAAAAAGATGTTTAGGTGTATTTATTTAATTTTGTGTAAAATTTTAAAATAACGTTGTCAAGTGAAGGTAACTTGTAAACCCATTTTAAAACCATACAATATTAATTAAACTAAGATGACCATAGATTACGGTTCCACGGCCGCAACGTCGTCGTTAAACAAAAAAAACCAACGGGGACAGCTGTACATATTGAAAGAAAAGGAAAATTACAATAAAGGTCGAACAGTATCACCTTAACGAAACAATAACAGTACAATTCCTTTCACGGCAAAATAAAGATCCGTAAATAAGATAACACAACATTGACTTGGTGCTGCGGTTAGAAAATAATAATTAAATTCCTTTTATAGAGAGGCGACATTGGTTTATTAAATTAAATAAATATCTTTAACGAATAGCTTTCTCTAAAAATTTCAAAAATTACCTAAAATATTTAGGTCGTTCGTTAAAATTAATCAAATCAAGTAATTCTTTTTTAAATTTTAAATGCCAAACCCGAACAAATCGTACATTAATCACTGCACCGCCATTACCTGCGCATTTCAATAGGTTATTAATCAATAAATCGCAACGTTAACGTAATAAGCTAAGAAATAGAAAGCTTGAGCCTTCTACATTGTCGAAGTGAGGAACATAAGGCGTTAATTACGCTTTAGAAATCCCGTAATGTGCGAACACATTAAGTAAAGCACCAAAACCTTTTCCTTAATTTTTTTTTTTAAGTTAATCGTGAAAAGGTTAGTTTTGAAATATTATGCCTAATTATTTCATAATTGTTTCGAATTGGTTGCGATTGCTAATTAGTTGGGAAACCCGCGAGGCGTTTAATATTTATGAAAAGTTTGACATTAACGATATATACAACCTTTACCTAGCCGAGGCCCACCGTATGTTCAAAACTTTTTTAAAAGGAGTGCCACTTAATCCTTGAAGAAACATGACGGCAATTAACGTTAAAATTAATCTTGGCGTATTAAAAAAAATTAGGTAGTTTTTGTGAATTAAAATTTTCAATAAATGACGTCGTTTTATTAATTATTTATAATTATTTCAAGTTACATATATTAAAACGCTTTTGTCATCAATTGATTCAACCTTTTTTATTGATAAAAAAAACAGAAATTTATTATGCGGGTCATTACTCAATCACTACGAAAGTCGTTTCAAAAGTAATTTCGTCGTTATATCAATTACACTATATGAATAAATCTATCAATTGGTTTAAATTTATCCAAACTAATTATTTCTATATTTACTTTTAAGACTTCTTTTTTATGTTGTTCAACAAATCTGCGTATTAAATGGCTCGTTTATGAAATGACATTAATTGATTTTTAATTGGATAGATCATTACAGTCTTGAAAAGAAAAACGTGCTTATTACAAACAAGCTTCGGCCATCTAGCTTCATTTTATATAATTAGATTAACGATCAACAATTTCTCTTATCGATACCGCCATTTACCATTAACAAACATCAACTAAATTGTATAATTACCGGTCGTACACGTATGCAAATAAATTTTCTTTTTATCAGTTTATTTATTAATAATGCATTAAAATAAAATGTTTATAAAGAGGAAAGGTAGTGACAAAAATGAAGAGAATGTGAAATGAATAGTTCAGAATAGACTATAATATATAACCAAACGAAGAATATACAGAACAACGACATCTGGCACTTGTGAAAACAATATGGGAGTGCAAACCACCATGCAAGAAAGAAAAGGGCGACCATAGGAAACTTTTGGCTCTTGGGTTTGATGGTTGCACAACAATGGCTGGAAAAGAATCGAATGTGCTACAAAGAATTAAAACAAAGCATCTCAACGGAACCTATTTCATTCTACACCACACTGAATGTAGTTATCAATAACTTATGCTCAGGGAGATTCAAAATTGTTCTTCATATGTATGTATTAAATGCAATAACAACACAGTCATGAAGCGTTTTTACCTAATTTTAATCCTAACTGTTATTTTCTGTAATTAAGTAACTTTAATTATGAGACTCAATGCAAACACGTAGATATACAGCATGTTGTGCAGAGAAGCCTAGTGACGGAGCACCTGCGATATCTGCATGGTAGGTCTTTGAGGAAACATTTTTCCATAAATAAAATATTAGAAAATATATGAAAGGAGATGTCAAAAGTGTTGTTAATGTTGTATGGGTTGTTGGGAAAATTGTATTCGGAGGATTAGAAACGCAAAACCAACCCCAGACTATTTTCTGAAGTGGCTCTCATTATAAAAGAAAATGATAAAAGTGGCAAAAGTAATAAATGATGCCCCCGTTTACGTTTCGCCATCTTATGAACTAGTTCCCCAAGCAACCAAGGAGCTTAAAGACTTTAAAAGCAACGACGATAATAATTTTTACGGGTTTTGCAAAAACTGGGCAAACATATTTGTTAGTATTTGTTCGTGTGCGTTTTCTTCCAATACACTCCGTGTTTGAGTTATCCATTGTAGTTGTTTTTGTTACTGATATGTTGAGGGAATGGGTTTTAAATGGTTTTTTTCTTCCTCCATGGTGAACTTTATCATTGAATGGGTTTGGTTTTATTATCAGATGACAAAAGTATCATCCACGTATCGTAGCCATGACTTTGCTTTTCAAGGACTACCTTTTAAAGCCGCTTCTTCAACTAGCTCCATATAGAACTGGGCGATGATTGACTATAACGGTGATCCCATGGCTGGTAACTTATAAAGCTCTCCTTTTCAGCTTAAGTAAGTCGAAGACAGGCAAAACTTTACAAGTTCCGGAACGTATCTTCCACGGCATCTGGAAAATCTGGACATCTTCACGGAAATATTGCCAATTCTACAAAATGTTTACCTTTTTCTGCAGGCAGGACGACACTACGCTTGTTTTGGTATAATATGTAATTAATATATATGCGCAGAAAGGTTCAGAACTGTTCGGAACTACAGAACTCTTGAACCAAAAAGCAAAACTTATGCCAATTTTCTCTCGCTCTCTCACTGTCTTGTTGGACTTTTGCGGTCACGAATTTCTTGATTTTCAGCTCTTCTGGATCCCTGGTTCTGCCATTTCCATGGTTATTCTATCCACTTTCTCTCAATTTTCCCTGAATATAGAACTCCAAGTCTTGGCGATGATTGACTATAACGGTGATCCCATGGCTGGTAACTTATAAAGCTCTCCTTTTCAGCTTAAGTAAGTCGAAGACAGGCAAAACTTTACAAGTTCCGGAACGTATCTTCCACGGCATCTGGAAAATCTGGACATCTTCACGGAAATATTGCCAATTCTACAAAATGTTTACCTTTTTCTGCAGGCAGGACGACACTACGCTTGTTTTGGTATAATATGTAATTAATATATATGCGCAGAAAGGTTCAGAACTGTTCGGAACTACAGAACTCTTGAACCAAAAAGCAAAACTTATGCCAATTTTCTCTCGCTCTCTCACTGTCTTGTTGGACTTTTGCGGTCACGAATTTCTTGATTTTCAGCTCTTCTGGATCCCTGGTTCTGCCATTTCCATGGTTATTCTATCCACTTTCTCTCAATTTTCCCTGAATATACAACTCCAAGTCTTGTGTATTATTTTACGTAATCAGATTTGTTCTGTTCTGTTCAAGGTTTTAAGGACTGCAGCTGTTGTGAGTCATTTTAAGATTGTTTAAATCCTTGATAAGTTTGAAAGTATTCCCCCCATAGAGATTGTAGATTTAAGTTCGTAGGATTTCACGGTCGGTGTTATTAGAAATTAATATTAAAACTAGAAGCTTCCAGGTTATGACGTGCGTCTATCAAACGATATCGAATTCCTTAATTAAATGTAGAATGTCATCACCATTACCGTTGATCATCTAGCAAGGCCATTCAAAGGAGTTAAAATGTAAATATGCCATAATTGCCGAAAAATTTTATGATTAATGAAAAAATTAACAATTCCCTGCGATATCGTCATGTCACATGAGAATAAGGTTTTTCACCTTACACTGTGAAAATATAAAATGACGTTATCTTGTGAAAAAAGCAAATTCTATAATTACACTTATTATAATTCTACTTATTTAAGTACACCCATTTAATTATTCATTATTTTATCTTTTCTTTTAAAATAAAAAGATTGCAATTTTCGTCTAGTTACTCTATTAGGTGTGTAATGTAATTCAGCATATTTCTATATTTTTTCTCATATTTCTACGCTTTTCTGTAGAATGAATGGATTAAGTTAATAAATTTCAATTTAAATAAATTCAATGAAATCAGAAAATTTGACATACTTTCATCAAAACTTTCGTGTTAGAAATTTTTTGTTACAACACAATTTTATAAAATTAATTTTAATATAAGAAAATACACAAATTAATTGTTGCATCATGATTTAACTAACAGACACGAATTATCGCAAAATTTCACACAAATTGCAAATTATTTAATTGACTCATACGCACTGTTTTGAACGTAAAATGACTGGCATTTGAAGCGTCCATTAATTGATTTACGAACGGCATAAATCAAAATAAATCGATAATAATTGAATGACGCGTCGGAATATAAATGAGCGAAACGTGTTATATCGGTCAATTTATTCGAATATGTCCAACCAACAAAACAACAAAGAAGAATTCCGTTTTATATGGATCACCAATGAGCTTATAAAAAAAATAACGAAAGTTCTTTTAACACGTTTTAATTTTAATCTTTGATTAGATACAATATGATCGATTAAAATTTAAACGATGTTTAAACATTTAAAAGGAACCTTCACAAAGTTAAAGGTAAAGGTGAAGGTTCCGGTTCTCTTCGGTTCGTTGTCCATTCGATGTAAAACGACCTTGGACGACCCAAAGAAGGAAAGAACACTATAACAGAAGGAGATTTATGCAGGACAGATTTACGCACCTCGTACACCGTCCGAACGATTTATATTGCATAATTAATAACCGGAATGTGAATGCGGTCGAGACTAATTACAATGTACGAAGAGTTTTAGTTACAATTGAGACGACCCAATTATAATCG